ATGAAATTTTGGATTTTCGACCAAAAACCTCTAGTGACTAAACCAACCTGAAATGCCAAACGTAGCCCCAAAATCAAGCTATTAATTATCTGAAATTATCCACAACAACTGAAATAATTGCCTCTATGTGCTTTAATGGGCACATGGTGTATCTGTATAAATGTGACTGGTACGGAGCGGGGGCTTTACATGCTTTGGTCCAAGCCTTGCTGGCAAATTGGAGAGAGAATGATGAACTTTTGTCAAGCTCATGTACGAAAGTCTGACACGCAACGTGTGCGAGGACGGGGCGCAAAAACCGTTTTCCTTGTGATAACCATGCACTATATTCTGCCTTCACGCGAGTCCCTGAGGCTCCCTTCCTACTTCTATAAATTGAAGTAGCGATCCAAGCAACCTGCATCCCAAACAACAAATATCCAACACCAGACTAACCATGAAGACCATAGCAACTGCTGTTTTACTGCTTTTCTTTGTCTTCTCAACAAAATCATGTTTCCTTGGGGTAGCCAACGCTGCAAACGAGCCTGTGCTTGATACCGATGGTGATGAGCTCCTTCCAGGTACTGAATACTATGTTGTGTCAGCAATACGGGGAGCTGGTGGCGGTGGGCTAGATCTGGGCTGGTCTTCAAATTTTAGATGCCCAAAATTCGTTATTCAAAGAAATCTTGACGTCGACAATGGCAGGCCGGTAACATTTTGGCCTGTGGACCGGAACGCTAGTGTTGTCTATCTATCCACCGACGTCAACATAGTGTTCGTTCCCGGCTTAGACGCTTACTGCCGGACATCCACTCAGTGGAAACTTGACAATTATGACCCTTCAACGGGAAAATGGTGGATTACGACTGGTTCGGTTAGAGGTGAACCTGGTCCTAACACTTTGATGAGTTGGTTTAAGATTGAGAAAGTTGGACCCGAGATGGATAGGGTTTACAAGCTTACATTTTGTCCTTCAGTCTGTGATTCGTGCATAACTTTATGCAATGATATTGGTAGATATTCTTATGATGGACTGAGGCGCTTGGCTCTCAGTCCCGGAGGATGGCCATTCATGTTTATCAAAGCATCTAGCGCGAAAGAATAACTTCCTTGGAAGAACAAGTATAAATTTATGTATGAACTATCCAACTAGCTTTGTTAGCCAGTAGCTACTTTCGCTAAATAAAATTTAAGTGTCTGCTTCCCAATAAAATCGGTATGTAATGTTCTGGTAATTAACAAGCTAGTCGGATGCGTTCTTCTAAGGTTGCCTTGTTTGAGCCTGGAATCTGCTTACTTGTCTTATTTTCATAGCCCAACTTTGTCGTTTATGAATAAATGATTTGCTTCTCTGCAATATGTGTATGTAATAAATTGGCTTCTACTCTTGCCGCCATTGATTGTAGTTCACTGAGTTTCTTTTTTTTTTTTGGAATTAACGAAAAGAGATTTGAATCTTACTTTTTAAGTAAAAAGATCATACATCAATTAATGAGTCAAATGTTCAAGTGCAAGTTCACTATGAATTTACATATTTTGCAATGAACTGAAAACATATAGGAGAGGGGCTTAAATTATTTGCTTTTGCTGCCACCAAAGAGATATAGAGTTCAGAAATAACGTTTTCATCTTTGTTAATGGAAAAATGATTAACTTTGAGCCTTCTTAACAATTTTTCTTCGAAATGACAAAAAAAAAGAAAATGATATAAATTATGGTAAATACGTATGTTACATATACATGACATGAGATTTGAGAGAGATATGAGAACTAATGTATCAAATCTATGGGATAGAGGGACATGAGGTGAGTGATTAAAGGTTTGTATATTCCTTCACACACTTGACACGATTTGCATTCATGCATGAAACTTCTAGCCAAGCACTGTCCTCATTTAGAGGTGATTAAGTAATTATGCTCTTGTGATGTAATAACTTCTGGATAGGCTAGCAAAACATCCTCACTCAGATTGAATCTAATCCATTTGAAGCTTGTAATGAGTGAGCACTAGGGTGCTTTACTAGTTTGAGTGGACAACAGTGAGGAACAATTTGGAAACTCTTAGCTCCAAGTGAAACTAAATTAACCATTAATGGTGTTGACATGATGCTCACATGTCATATTATTTTTTTTTGTAAATTTATTTTGCCACATTAGTTTCTTTGTGCCACGTCATAGTGACCAAGTTACATAAATTTGTAAAATATAAAGATTAAATTGAACAAATTATATAGTACAAGGATTAAATTGAACAAAATTCTATAATATAGGGACTAAATTGAATGTAATTATCACTTATAATATGAAGTGTGTTGAAATTTTTATTTGGTTGATTTATTTATGCAATCCAAGAAAAAGTATATGATGAAATGACATCATTGTATTAACTTTTCATTTGTATGCTATTACGGTGGTCAACCATTGGTTCCTCCTATTAATGAATTTTTTTTTGTAACAAGACTTGCTCTTTTTATAATTATTAGCTCAATACTTTGTATTTGTTTTTCTTTTTTCTCTGTTAATTATTGTTCATTTTATTTGCCTTGTATTTTTTTTATTTTACATAATATCTTATCAAAAGAACAACCCAAACAAGGTCCAAAACCTTTAAACACCAGAAAGGCATGAAAAGCCTAATCCGAATTTGGGCTTAACATCAACCCATAAACAGAAAACAATTACAAATAAAAATAAACAAAATAAAATTGAAAATGAGAATTGATTGTTTGATACTTGCTAGTTACCCCATTTTTGTTTTTTGCTATGTTAGAGTTCCTGGTGTTTGCTGGATTTTTCAAGCTTTTTTCGAATCTACAGTTGCTCTATTTTTGGCACTCAAATGAGCGCTCTAAAGTTCATTTGTACTGGTTTATTTTGACTACTCTGTTTGGGTTTTAGTAATTGATGAGTGTTTCAAAAAAAAAAAAGCACCCTTAAGAAAAACATGTAAAAATGTTCATTGTGAGCACTTTTCTCTTAAAACCAAAAGTTGATCCAATCGTTGACAGAGACTTTGCCTTGATCATCATTTCTTTTGGGCAAATGATGAAAAGCAGCAAATAAGTATTCACAACTTTTGAGAAGAAATTTTTTTCCATTAGCACCAACGCCAATCAATTCTTTAGTAGAAGGAATGACTTCATCATAAAACCAACCATGAAGAGGAAGACCACCCAATTTGTGCAAGTCCCATAATGATAAGGAAGCCTCTCCAAAAGCGGTATGAAGGTGTTCGTGGTTGGACAAACAACTCTCACAAAATGCTTGATGACATCTTTGTTACGATCATAAGTATATAAAGATGCGGTAATAGCATCGGCCATCTTCATATCACGTAAGAGCTTCTCATATCGAAATAACACATCTTCAATCCACTCCCAATATTTGGGGATATACTTAAATTCTCCATCGTGACAGAACTACCCCAATAAGCCTCACCGAAAATTATACGGCTTGCCAATGTGATAAATTTCTCTTGATTGAAAGTTTTGTCATGAAGATAAGATTGGAGACATCGAGCTGTTGAGAAGATTGCGAGATCTTGATTGGCTTAGAAGTCCATTATTCTAAAGTTGTAAGAGCACCGAGTGGTGAGAGATGCCAAAAAATGACCAATTATAGGTCTCACTGTGGGAAGAACAACCCTTTCTTCATATCTTCATCCTTTTTTGAAAGAATAACAAGTTGATTTTCGTAGTCCTTGAAGTACACCATGGTGATTGTAAATTGTGTGCTAGTATAAAGAGCACCTCCCAAGGATCAACAAGTGCTATTACAAAGAGCACCCTCCAAGGATAATAAATCGTGTGCTAGTATAAAGAGCACCTCCCAATGATAAACAAGTGCTATTATAAAGAGCATCTCAAGGATAATAAATCGTGTGCTATTTTAAAGAGCACCCCCAAGGATCAATAAGTGCTATCGTAAAGAGCACCCTTTGAGGATAACAAATCACTGCTATTGTAAAGAGCACCACCTTAATCTGCGCCAATTTCTCCCACTTCAATTTAAACTTGATTTGATTATAGGCTAATAATTTGATATTTAACTGTAAAAAAAAATGTCAAATTATTAGTCTAAAACAACAATTTTGAAAAAAATTTCAATAAAAAAAAGTGTAAAAAAAATTGTGCAATATTGGATTTCGGTAATTTACGATTACAACGGGTACGAAGTTGATGAAGAAATATTGGCCAATTCTCGGCCTCCTTAATGTTTTTCTATGTCCTTGTAATGTTGCAAAACAATGGTCGCTTATCATGGCAATTGAAACGTGCAAGATGTATGGTGGCTTGTATGATATATATATATATATATATATATATATATATATTTAACATAGCAATTGAAACAAAGGATGGCTAATTTCCTAGGTGTATAAGGTGGCAAGAATACAATTTGCATGGCAATCAAAACGTCGCAATGGAAGATGAATTAATGTAAGGTGGCAATATGATGGCTTAACGTGGCATGGTGATATCTATGGCTTTCTTGATTCAATTATGAGCTTGCAAGTGTTTGCATGAATTTTAGCATGGCAATTGGAACGTGGCAAGATAAATGTGGCTTGCATGATTTTAAGCATGGAAACATGGTGAGATAAATAATAGCAGCATAATTTAGCATGGCAAAAAAAAAAAATCAAAGAACCAAGAAAGAATTGGCAATCGGCTTACCATGTAAAGAGAAAAAAAAAGATGCTTTCACCAACAAGAAGTATGCTACCTTACTTGATGGTTAAGAAATCTTGAAGCTGCAAGTATGAATTACTGTACGGATTGAAGCAATTGCAAACTAAAATATTATGGTTCCAATGTTTATGTGTAGAGAATTGGCAAGGGGTCCTTTTTATAGAGTAAAAAAGAGAATCCTAGTTAATTAAGGAATGCAATATCAATTGCAATATGCTTCTTTTAAAATTATAATTCTATTGCATTATTTCTTCAAATAGTTTTATTGTAATATACATCTTCTAAAGTTATAATTTTCTTACCTATGAGTAAGCATAATTCAAACTTAACTTGGATTGGAATTAACCAAGTCACTGTTAGAATTTTAAGAAATCCTAAAAATTTTAAATATTCAAGACTTGTCACTTGCCACATTCAAAATCATGGGTGAACAAGTCTAGAGGGGCATCTGTAGAATGAAAAAATTATCAGCCAATTTCGTGCCGTCATGTGAATTTAATAATATTTTAATCATGTAATTAATTATAAAATAAATAAGTTATTGGTTAGATTATTTTAAAAACATATAGTTGAACCAATTCACCTATTGGTATATATTTATCCCTTGAGATAATATTTAATTGGACCAATGAAAAATTAGTTATTGGTCATCCAGTTATCTCTAAATAAATCAAAATAATTTAGAGATAATATTTATATTTTGACCAATCAAAAAATTAGTTATTGGTCATCCAATTTATCTCTAAATATATTAAAATAATTTAGAGATAATCTTCATATTTTTGACCAATCAAAATTTAATTATTGGTCATTTAAATTATCTCTAATAATTATATTAATTTAGAGATAAAAATCATATTCAATTATTTAATTTATCTTTAAATAATTTGGAGATAATACCTAACTTCGGTCAATCAAAATTCAAAGACTCAAAGTTCGGCCAATCAAAAGACTTTCAATGAGTCATCATAATTTATCTCTAGATAAATTAAAATAATTTAGAGATAATTTAAAGAGATTTCATTCTCATCAAAGTCTCTCACTTAACATTATAAATAGGGGCTCCTCCAAGCCATTTTCATTCATTCGAAAGCATTCGAAAATTGAGAAGCACTCGAAGATTGAGAAGCATTCGAAGATTGAGAGCATTTAAGAGATCAAGAAGAATATAAAATTTCTGAAGTTCGTGATCAA